TCAAACAGAAGTCGAATTCTGCAAGCACCGAACGAATGGTTTATTCGACCAGTATGAACGTATGCAGCGAGTAAAGGGAGTTCGAGGAGGAATCGTGAAGCGTCAAGCCGGATACGATACTGGAGATGCCGGTGTTTCAGCCGGTGTTTCTGAGCAAGCACCAACTTGCTGCAGTTGCAAGTCCGGACTGGCTGGACCACCTGGTCCTCCGGGTCTCGATGGCCCTGATGGTAAAGATGGTCTGCCAGGAGCTAATGGAGAACCTGGTGCCGACGCTGCACCAGACGCAGTACCTACTGCCGATGACTTCTGCTTTGACTGCCCCGCAGGACCACCAGGACCTGCTGGAAATCCAGGACCTAAGGGTCCACCCGGAAATCCAGGAGCTGACGGTCTACCTGGCCCAGACGGCCAACCTGGACAGCCTGGTCCACCAGGACCTCAAGGACCACCTGGACCCGATGGACAACCTGGACAACCTGGAGAGCAAGGTCCACCCGGTATTGTTGAAGAAGTACCAGTTCCCGATGGCCCAGCTGGACCTCCAGGACCACCCGGACCACCTGGACCAGATGGACAACCAGGAGCACCCGGTCAACCCGGACAAGACGGACCACAAGGACCTCCTGGAGACCCAGGACGAGACGGACCACCAGGAAACCCAGGAGCTCCAGGAGAACAAGGTCCTCTGGGAGAAAGCGGAGCTGGAGGTAGCTGTGATCACTGTCCACCACCACGAACAGCTCCTGGATACTGAGTCCAACGTCGTCGCCAGTGCTTTCATGTATATTTCTGTTTTTCACATGACCTCATGACTTTTTATGAAAATCATAAAGATTTTAATATACTCAGTTTTTCTTCGCTTCTGAGCAACATCAGTTAGGCTTTCTAAAGTGGTTTGAAGTATTTCTATGACCTTCAAACAGTATCTGAGCTTTTTCTGGACAACGTTTATCCCATCAGAATTAGGAGAGCTTTAATCGTCTTCTTGAGCGTTCATTTCTTACGGGTGCTTCTATCTTTTACATGCAAATGGGGAGAGGATGTCTTTAACGATTAATCGCCGTTAACTAGAATCATTATACGTGCATAAAACTTGGCGCCTGATCCCATTCTCAAATGCTATGACAAAAACGTTTAATAGCATCGGCAAAGATTCAGAATGCTGTTCCAAGTCAACCGGACTTTTCATTTGCAAGCTGAGCAGCAGTTTAGATGTGTGAACCCGGTGGTCGCTCCTTGGGAATTCGTCCTCGGGGGGGGG